AATCCGGAAAAATCGATAACCCGGAATCGCCGAAGTCCCGACGAGTCCGGATTAACGACTTTTGACTGTATTTAGAATCAGAGGTCAAAAGTTAGTTAAAAACAAGTTACAGGTCTAAGATGACGAAATTGCTGCTTCCGAGTATAATATTATATTCTTTTATGAGAAAAATTCCAACATCCAAAAACATATATGTTTATAAAGATTTGAAAATGAATCAAAGGTTATTAAAAAAAACTCATTACTTGTTTTTAAAACAAGAATATCAAAAATTATATTTCTAAAGTTTTTTTTAGCTTTCATTTTATATTAAATATCTTTTTTAAAAAAATTCTCATGAAGTAGAGTGGATGGGAAGTAACAATATGTAGTGTTATTTTCATGTTTATGACAAAAAAGAATGGTACGTGTAGAGCAGTTATTAGGCTACACATGGGCAACCTCCTCTGAAGAACATCTAGGGTCTCCAATTAGAGTCTTTAAATTTTGATGTCTTTGATAAACAGTCTTATCTTCTGCAAGTTGCTTCCATTCACATGCAATATTTGGAGGAATCTTTTTCATCCCAGTGCAATTTATGCTTCCACTATCTTTCATAATTAATTTATATTGAACTGTTATCAGTAATTACCCAACAAAAGAATCAAATATCTTTGCAGTTGTTGAAAGTAATGTTCATTAGGTTAAGACTTCAGGTAACAAATTGATTTTCAAGAACATATCTAAGGCTGGGTGCCAACAGGGTACCTAAAGTTTTTACTCTATCACTACTGCCTGTGCTCAGAGATATATTTAGTAAACTCAAATCTTAATTGAGTTCAAAATTGCTGTTACAAATCCATTTTCTTAGAACAAATCCTGCACATGACAGCATCCGATTCAAATAGGCTTGTAGCTTTAGAGATTGAATTGGCTTTGGACATTGAATCGCCAGTGCAGAAATCCTTGAGGCATGCTTTAGAAGCCAAAGAAAAATTATCTACTTCTGGTGCTAATAGTTGCAAGCATTTTATTACGAGGTAGGCACTGACGTGGGACTGTAAGCTTTGTTTTGGTTTGTGACTTTCCCAATCTAAATGTGATGCATATTCACTTTGGTTAACTCCACTAAGCAAGGTTTTTTTTTTTTTTTTTTTTTTAATAAATATATATATATATATATATATATATAAATTTTTTCATTGACTGCTACAGTTCATTTGTAAATGTGTGTTTTAAGTTTCGGGCGTAGATAGACCATGTAAAGTAGATGAAAAGTAACAATATGTAGCTTCTGCTTTTTTTGTCATGTTTACTAGACTAAAAATGTGATGTATACACTACATGACTTCCTTGCACGGAATATTAAATTATACACATTTTCACTGCATTTCATTTAAACTTATTTCCTTGAATTTCATTAGAGATTAGTTCTCACGTCCAGCAAGGCTAAAATGCATAAAACCTCAAAATATTTTTTATCAAAAATTGAAAAATATAGAACCCCAAATACAGTTAAACCAATTTTTACAATTAAAATGAAAGTTTCTATGCCCAAAGAAAAAAAAAAAAAAAATTATATTCGGCCAATGAGTAAGAAGGCATATTTTTCGGTGCACAAAACTGAAAGTTTATATTCAGTTCCACTCGGCTAAAGACACTGAAGGTGCAGAAGCTGACTTAACTCATTATTTTGTTAAGTTTCAAATGTAAACAAATGTGGCAACTATGTTAAAGGAATTAGGCTTAGCTGCATTTAAACAACTTTTAAATGGTGGATAATTCTACAACTATTGCATTCAGATTAATTAAAGGCATGAAAACTTTAATTGGAAGATAAAAGCATAATTCAATCATTTTCAAAGGAGAAAAGACATAATTTACCAACATATAAAGGCCCACCATCGGCCGAGCGGTAAAGTCGCTGAACACTGGTAGTTCGGTCCGAGGTTCGAATCCCGCGAATGGGCTGGCTGCATGGGTGTTTTCTCCATGTGTAACGTGTATACGAGCCAGTTTCCCTTAGAAAGTCCTCCACGAAGGCATCCCTCCCCTTAGGCAGATAGCCCTAGTGTGCTTTGTCATAATTAAATACACCCTACACGCCCAACATATACGAATAAAAAAACTGAGCTCACGAAGCTGAGTATCAGAGTGGGTATATATACGTTTGGTGCAGTCAATTGCAACCGAAAATGGCGATGCAAAACTACATGCTGTAGCAATCCTATATACAAAATTTAAACAGTTTAATTATACTCATTTTTGAGTATGAGTGCAAGATACATACGTATGTACAGGCGTCACGAAAAATTCTCTTTTAAATCCTTTTTTAACCTGTTTTGGGAAAAAGACTCCTTTATTCTTTGCAGATGTCACGAAAAAACATCGTTAATTGTATTCAGTAGTGGTCAGAATCAGTATTTTTGTGGAAATATGATACCTGAAAATTTTTTAGAGTAGAATACTTCCTTTACTTCATACAAGGAGGTAAAAACAGTAGGACAATCAGTACGGCATTTGCAGGCACCATCTTATGACAAGGAAGAAATAAAATTAATATCTGAACACATAGTGTTTACTGCCATGGTCAAAACTTTGCCATTGATTTCCAAACTATTTCGTAATATTGGGGTCACATTTTGCACAGGGGTGGCCTATTTTTTTCTCCCTCCTCCCCCTTCACCATTTGACATCACAGAATTGTTGCCAGTAATAGTGCCCCCCCCAAATGGCAGATTGTGAAGAATTACAAATGTAACCCAGTCCATTAATCTATACAGGGTTGGATGTGGTGGTCTCTTTATTATGGAGGCACCTAGCAGGTGGGCCACCATCGCCTTTCCTATGAAGGGGCGGACAGTTACAACCATGCCTTCTCCGAGATTCGAACCCAGGCCCTTCTTCGCCCAGTCGGTATAGTGGTCAACCGACTGGGCGACACATAATACTGATTTTCATTGTTGAAAAATTATTTTTTCCGTTTAATAATTTTATTGACATGCAAAATTAAAAAGCTGAAAATAAAAAATAAAGGAAAAAGTAAATATAAAGTATGTAACACGAAATAAGCTTTAAGTAAAGCTTTTAATTTTAAAACAATAAAGTAATAATGAATTAAAAGGGAAAAATAATTATGTAATTTTATTGGAAAAAGTTATTATCCTTTAGTCATGATATTTTAAATAAGAACTTTTTATTGTCTTTAGCTTTAAGTTTTTGTGTTTTTAATTCTTAAAATAATCATCGATATTTGTTTCATTTAAAAGGGTTCCCATTTTATTTATTATTTATTTATTTCTTGCTCTATTTCATGCTAAGAATAAAATTTGAGATTCTTCAAGGAAATAAGAAATGTCCATTCATGTTTTTCAAACATAATTTGTATTAATTTTTAAATTGAATGTTATGATTAATAAAATAATGCTGGAGAAATGAATTTAACTCTCTGAGCTCCATAACCATTCATGAGATATTTTGTCGCTAGGTATATTTATTAGTATATTTATTATAGGTATATTTATTAGTTATAATTTAAAGGTACTTTGCTTTTTTACTATCTTTAATAACATAATTGCCATCTTAATGAAGATTTAACTAATAACAGCTGTTCCAATACAAATCTACATGACAGATCCAAAAACCCTTGCCACTTGGAGGGTTAAGAGAAATCGAACTGCATTCTTTGGTGAAAGTTGGTTGGAGATGTCCTCTAAAATAGATCACTTTTAAGTGTCACTTATTTCCATTCTGTCATTGTAAGTTAACTGTCCCCCTCCCCCCTGGAGGAACAGAGCTTTGTTATGTTTGACAATTTTCTCACAGAAAATCATGTAAAAATCATAACATCAGCTGTGGTAATAACCTGTTTGTTAGGTTTTCAAAATTATCATGATCTGCAGATTCATTGCTGCTGATGTTTTTGCCTTCGAATGTATGTGTTATTTAAAAAAATTATTAAAAAATGGCTTCTTCTTACTGCTGTTAATTGTACAGAAGGATGGAAAATAATTTTTTAAAAAATGAATGAAGAAATATATCTCATGTAAAGAACTTCTGTTTATATATATATATTTTCCAGTTTCAGTTTGTATGTCAGATTTATGTTTTGATTGGATCATTGATTCTGTAACTTCAATTTTATATATATACTTGCAATATATTTATTGTAAATTGCAAAATATTAATTTTTAATCCCCCTTCCAAAATTTTCAGATTTATTGTGAGAAATAATCTGTAAATGGATTTAGATCTCTTCCCTTCTCTTTTTACAAACTTCGAATTTCTCCCTCTTGTCATTAAAATCAAATCAAATCGCGAAAAATTTCAAATTTTATAGTTTCTGAAAGCATTATGCAGTCTTCATAGATAAGTTGTTGCCAAGCGAAAGAACATAACTTAGGAATAAGGGCAGTTATTTCAGGAGAGTAATCCCAGGAACAAGAAAATGAATGATATTAATATAATAAAAATTAATACTAAATTGAAAATATGCCTACAATAGAAAATTATTTTTAGAATAAAGTGTAGAAAAAGTCTAAACACAGCTTCTTAAAGTAATTAAAAAGGGAGGTTCAGAATAACTTATACTATGTAAGCATATAAAAGTAAATTTCTCTTAATCTATTATCGCATAATCATATGTAACCAAATGTTGACAGATATTTTGTGTCATTCCACCTCAAATAGCTAAATGCTTGAGAGAATGTTGAATATTGTCGATTGAGCTGAGTTTTAACTGGCTAGCTTCATTGATGCTTTTCTATGAATTTTGCTTTGTGCAATGTGAATATGAGCCAGTATCCCTCAGAAAATCCTTCATGAATGTATCTATCCCCTTAGTTTTATGTATTCTTATTGTGTTTTACAATGTTCAAATCATCTATATATGTATTTACATCATGTTCAGTAAATGAACTTCCACATTACATGAATATTGATTGAATGATTTTGTGTGTTAAATAAAGTGTAATACATTTACTAAAATATTTTGCCTAATTTCATTGTTCTTTTTCCTTTAGGTCCATTTTCAAGAGTTAACAGTTTGCGAACTAAAAGGTGATTGCAGTAGAATTTTAATCACTTTCTTCTTGCTTCTGGAGTTTTAAAAATGGTTCAGAGTCCTTTTATCGAAGTCATTGTTTATATATAATAGTTTTTTTTAACCAAATACCAAGTCTGGTAAGCCATTGTGTGGTGAAAATATTTATATGGGCCCTGAAGATGTAGATAATCAGAAATGATGTTGAATCCTGTGATAATTGGTGTATCTAAAAAACATTCAAGTTATTGTATATAATTTTCAAAATGCTTCTCCTGTACATATCTTAATAAAATTAAATTTTATATGAAATAATCATGTAATGTACAATGGTTGTATTTTTTTTTTTTTTTTTTTTCCCTTCTCCAATTACAGTGTTTCAGAGAAATAATCTTCAGCAATTTTAACCCTCCAAACCGCAAGACCACATATATGCATTCAAATACTTCGGTCCTCATAACCCCTGTCTCAGAGTGCCTTCTTAATTTAAAAAGATAGGTAGTAATTTTCCTTTGTAGGAGGTAACTGATGAGAGGAAACTGAGTATTCCTTAGAGGAAATAAATTTTATCATTAGGTCTTGACTAATAACTCGGAATAAATAGCTCATTTAAAATCTCGAATGTTTCTATGTTTATGCCAGCTATAGTAAAATTAAACGTTTATGTACATAAGCTGAATTTTTATTTTCCAGCCTAAATTACTGTCCAAATTTTAGGTCATAATTTGGCAAAATGTAATTGGAATTACAATTAAAATTATGTAACTGTTATTGTAACTACTATAATATTTTGAAATATGACTCCAATTACTTTGCAATAACAGTGTAAACAGTGTATGTAATTGCATTATAATTCTTCAATCTAGTTACAATTACAATGCAATTGCAGGCATTATAATTATATAATCTAATTCCATTTATAAATTTTATTGCATCTAATTACAATGACTAAATTGTAAATACATTATTATTATATTAGCTACTTGAGAATGTAATTGCAATTGCAGTAGGTAATTGTAACTATGTAATTAAGAAAGTAATTACCCCTTCATAATCAGAAATTACATTGTAATTGTAATAACATTATGGCGTTACTAAGTAATTACTATCACAAAGGAGCTGTTTTTCAATCAGAATTACAGTTTATGCAGTTTCATTTAAATTACAATTATGCTGTACTTGTTAAATCTAATTTTATATTCAGTGCAATTGCAGGTAATTATGATAATAATCTAAATACAATTGCAATTATGTAATCTAATTACATTTACATTGTAATTGTAGCTGCAGTAGGTAATTATAATTACATTATCTAATTACAATTGTAACTGTAAATGCAGTAGGTAATTATAATTACATTATTAGGAAAATAATCGAAGCCCAGGGAAATCGTGATCTTAATTGCACATGTAATTTTAGTATGCAATTGAAAATACAGAGCAACTGTAATAATATTATGCAATTATTTTGTAATAAATATTACAATGTAACTATTTTTAATTACAATTACAGTGTATGCTAATGCATTTTAATTGGGAAATCTAATTGGATATTCACTGTAACTATAACTGTATAATATTATTACAATTACTATGTATTTTCAGTTGCATTTGCAATTAAGATCATGATTTCCCTGGGCTACGTAACTGCAATTATTTTCCTAATTGCATAATTATAATTACCTGCTGCAGTTATAATTACACTGTAGCTAAAATTAGATTATGTAATTGCATAATCTAATTTCATATAAAATATTGCATTGAATATAGAATTAAATTTACACAGTAAATGATTGTAATTATGTAATCAGAAAAGCAGTTGCCCCTTATAACATCAATTACATCTGCTAGGGAAATCATGATCATATTTGAAAATTGTAGTATATCTGAACTGTTTCTCCATTTTGGATAGTAAGTTGCTAAAAATACGATGGGATAATCACCTATTAGATAAATATTACTATTTTCTGCATGTATTGCAGTTTGTGATACTGGCACAGATTGGAATGTATTTAAAGGAAGTAATATCGTCTATTTTATATAGACCTAAGTGCATATAATGTTAGTAAACAAATATGTATGTGTATAAACAGACATGTGAATTTGAACTATATGATTAGTGGAAAGCAAGCAAAGAGTGTATTCTTGTGCAAAGGGATTTTTTGCCAAGGATTTGTTAAGGGAAGCTGGTTTTCCTTTTTTATTTACACAAAGAAATCATGAAAACTTCACTTATCTTTTCTTTTTCAGCAAGGAGACTAAATGAAGTGTCATAATTTTATTCAGTTGATTGTTGTAGCTGGTAGAAAAATGACTCTGACCTGCAATAGGTCTGCTTAATTGCTATGTGCACTAAATATTTGACTATATTTATTACGAACTGCCACCCAGACAGGAGTAAGTGATTCATGACCCTGATTTGCCATACTGAAAAGCCCAGGTTCAAATCCCAGACAGGGCATTAATGTAATCTGTCTCTTGATAAGAAGTAGTGGTGGCCCACCTATTAGGTGCCTTCATAACGTGACCACTGCTTCTGTTTAGTAGTGGTCTATAAATGGCTAGTGCCCATCAATGGGAAAAAATTATTGTGAATCAGTCTTCTATTAAACACAATACATATTTTCAATAAATAGTTAAAATGCATTATTTACTTACAAGTGAAAGTACTTGCATGAACTATTTTCCACAGTTTCATTTAAAAAAGAAATAAAAGTATAGTTTTCATTTGCACCTATGAATGTTATATTATTTGAATTATGGTAAAGTACCCATAGATCCTTCTGTGGAGGACTTTCTAAGGGAAACTAGCTCATGTTCACATCACCCATGAGGAAAATGTCTTTATTTGATTGGTTGTGTCAAAACTTTCAAGAACGATGTATTCATGGAAAATTTTCTAAAGGAAACTTGTTTTTATTCATGTTACACATAAGGAAATCCACGGAGATATCCAAACACTTAGGTTGTTCACCGGAATTCGATTTGAACTAGCACTACTCAAAAGACGTCTTATTGACTCGATCACTGTTGAGCCAAAAATCTAATTATTTTTGGAGTTATATTGTAATTTTAACAGTCATTGTATTACAACTGCAATTATTGCTGCATTAGCTGTAGTTTTAACTGCAATGAATTACCAGCTTTTTATTCAATAGCAGATAGCTTAAATGAAAGATCTAATTTGTAGAATGACAATATTCTGAGAAAGTTAATCTCATCCATTAATTTCCCAGATATGATCGTGTTTACAGATTTTTGTTGAAGGAAAGTATTTTATATCATAGATAAAAATAAAGCGTCTTCATCAAAGTGCAGTAAACAGTAAGTATTGATAAATTTAATTGGAATTACATTATAATTCTAGTTAATACAGATGCAATGTTATTTTAACAGTTATTATAGTTGTGATTGCAAAAAAGTCAAATGAGTGCTATAGATTAGTATACTTTTATTTACTTAAGCACAGCATTGAACTTTTTAGTACCTTGGGTACTGAAAAGATGTTTTACCACTCTCAAATGTATATTCAGTAATATATTCTTATTGCTGTACTTATTATATATTTTAGTGCACAATTCATGAAACTTTGCAGTGAGAATACATTATACTGAGGCATACTGTATGCCAGAGGTGGGTAATGTGCAGCCTCTAACTCTTGTATTAATCAATATTTAATTATGTAGGTAATGAAAATTAATAGAGTTAAATAACGTGCTGCCATCTATTGAGCATAACATGAATTAGAATGTTGCAGTGTGCAATATTGTACAGTGTTGCCAGGTCGTGTGACTTTTGACAAATTTGTGCTACTAAAATTTTAGTATTTGCAATTTTTTGAAATTTTTATGACCTCCATCATTTCTTTATGCGACTTCAAAGATTTTTTAAATGTATCATAAAATGCTTACGTGTTAAAATAATGTATCAATTAAAAATAATTTACAGTTTATTTAGGCTTAAATAGAAATTTTCATTAGGCAATCGTGTTTAAATGTGGACTTTCCAATTCAAGGTTGCACAGCCTAATGCTGGTGTAATGAGAAAAAGGGGAAAAGTGAGAAAGAAAAATGCTGCTCTCACCCTCCCCCTCCCATTTTTCGAAGTAACAACACAAATTTAACAGTGAAAGAACAAGCCTTTCTTAAGTAATCAGAATCTGAAGTAAGCCCACCAGGCAGAATGGAAAACTCGCTGAAAAACATTCCTCAATTAAAATGTTCACAATTAAGGAAGAAAAACATTGAATTAAACAAATTAACTGCCGACTCAAAAAATTTAGTACAAAAGTGCTAACAATCTAAACATGAGAAATATCAAAGGATATGCACAAATTAAAAAATAGATACTAAATTAAATTAGAATTAAAAAAGAAATGGATATTCAAACAATTGAAAATGAGCAATGTAATTTTAAAATTTTCGTTAAAGCTAAGATAAGTAATTAAAAAGACCAACAGTCGAGTACATTCTGTAACTTGCAGGACCAATAAGCGGTAAATTTTTTATGACGGTCAGAGGTCATGTGAGCATGCATAACTATGACATCACCAAAAATCGCCTGATCACTGACGTCATTTGCGACTTTTTGAGTCTTCTTTTGCTACTTTAGTTGAAAATGTTTTGGCAACACTGATACTTATTTTATTATATTTATGGGTATTTATTGCTTGGGCAATACTTCCCAGTCATGCAAAGAGTTTCTTGCAGAGCTTGAAAGTAGAAATAAACCTATTAAGTTTCCTCTGTGTGTGGGGGGGGAATAATAAGATGGAAATACAGCAGCAAGGCATAACTTTCGCGTTAGCTCAGAAAGTAACTTGAGTTGCATGCAACCCTGGTCGAGCAGAGGTAGGCAGAGCTTGTCATGGGGTTCAGCCAATCAGCCTTGTCGTTGATAAATTTACTATTCTCAGAGAATAGTAATTTATAAAAATGAGAATCCATATGCAGACATGACTATCACCTATAAAAAATTTTTGAAAAATATGGGTGATACACTGGATAAGGTGAGAGAAATCAAGTCCGAAGCAGTTACGTATAATAGTTCATGAATTCCATATAACTTGAGTTGCATGCAACCCTGGTCGAGCAGAAGTAGGAGCTTGTCATGTGGTACAGCCAATCAGCCTTGTCGTTGATAAATTTACTATTCTGAAAGAATAGTAGTTTATAAAAATGAGAATCCATATGCAGACATGACTATCACCTATAAAAATTTTTTGAAAAATATGGGTGATACACTGCATAAGGTGAGAGAAATGAGAAACCAAGTCCGAAGCAGTTACGTATAATAGTTCATGAATTCCATGTAGAAAGTTGGTGCTTCACTGTGATTGGTCAAAATCAGTTTGTGATTGCTTGTCAGAAGAGATGATGTAAAAAATGTAAAACTTAACATAAGCACAGGTAAATGATGAATAAAATTAATTATTAGCTTGTCTGATTGAATAAACAATATAGGTCAGATGAGTAAAATGTCCATGATGATAAGAATATCCTCAAAGTAAGCTGTTCTATTAGCCACTGCTTTTCTAAAGAAGTCTTCATTCAGCTCGAATAGGTAGTCTTTGATATAATCATTTTTGAGGTCGCAAAGTAGGTTTTCATTTCTAATAAAGTAAGGGTCATTCGCTATGATTCTTAGTATTTTATTCTGCACGACTTGCAGCTGGTGAATATCACTGGCTTTAGTGCTTTCACAGGCTGGGGAGGCATATGTAATAATAGGCCTAAGAATTCCTGTGTAAAGCTTTCTTTTGTGTGTAAGATTTAAGTTAGAGTCCCTTGAAAGTAGTGGATGGAGTCTTCTCGTAATGCCATATGCCAGGGGTGGCCAAGCTCCTTGACAGTCTGAGACATTTTTAAAAATTTGAAACTTTTTGCGAGCCGCAATTAAATACATATGTAAAAGGTATGCAAAAACGGTATTAAAAAAAATTTTTTTACAGAAATTATATTTATTGAAAGCATATAAATAAATGTACAAAATATGTGTATTGAATTTAAATATTAAACACATTTATTTTACTTCTCTTGATAATTCTTTAAAATTTGGTGAAAAATTGGTGACAGCATTTCTCAGTAATTCTTTTAGATGCTGGTTAGTTAATACAGATTGGTATTTTTATTTCACGAATTTTAAAGTGGAATAAAATGATTCACACAGTGAAGGGGTCGTTTTAGATAGGGTCGTAGAAGAGTCCTGTATAGTGTAACAAGTATTTATTAACAGGTTTAAGTTACACACGGACATTACATTTAACTATAAGAAAATTACAGAGCAAGCATCTGGTACTACCTATCAACTAGGAGACTTGGCTTTTACTGAAGTACTTTTCTGGCTACTCACCATAGGGCAGCCTTGATGTCACAGTTAGTCCAACAGTTTACGTTAAAGGATTGGTTACAAACTTCCCATCTGGCTCCGCCAACATCCCGGCAAGGAAACAGAACTGGAGGATTTGGGAGCTCTTGTAACATTGTTTGTAGTCTCAGTATTTTTGGTTTCCTGGGTAAGGGGACTTCTTTTTGGAGCACTGGAACCACAAGTTCTTGATTATTTCGGGAATACAAAGTAACTTGGCGGTCTACCTCTCTTCCTGAGCGGAAGAATGGGAGAAGTGGACGAGTCTTTGAAAGGTGTTAGTGCATACGTATGGTACGTTCCTAAGGGTTCTGATGGTTTATGAAGGCTTGAAATGATATAGGAAGTAGGTGATTTCTGTGTCATTACCAAGTATGGACCGTCACGCTTGGGTGTGAACTTTTGAAGTCTTTTTGTTTTTGCATTGCTAACGGGATATAAATTGACCCATACCTTATCACCTGGTGAATAAAACACTTGTCGCCTTCCTCTATCATATTGCTTTTTACGTTGATCTTGCTTTATTTTGATACGCTCTTGTATGTCCTTTGTAATAGTTGCGAATCATTTAAGATAAGGGGTGATTTCAGGAAAAAAATCATTTTCAACCACAGCTTTGAAATCGGTTGATTCTTTATTTAAAGAAGGAGAGCAGCTTGGACACTTAGCCTTAACGACGCCTGATTTTCCGCAACCATAACAACTAACAGTTGGGTCGATCTTCTCTCATGCCAGAATTCCTTGTTGCTGAGTTTTTAACAAGTTGATGGTTATTTTTATAATTTCTAGGACCACTACGTTGAGACGGCTTTAGAGTGTTATTACTGACGTTTCTACTCCTGATGTTTTTAGCTGCTTCATATAAATCTAATTTATCAGCCATTTGAAGCGGATCAGTCCACTCGGACCAATGATCCACAAAATGTTTTCTATACTCAGGAGGAGATCGTCTTTTAATTTGGTCTGATATCATCAAATCCTTTAACTTCTCAAAAGTATTGACTTTTAATTCGCCAATCCAGCCATCAAATAAATTTTCAAATTTAAGTAAAAATCTCGCCAAGTACTATCAGGACTTTTGCAATGTTGCGAAAATAACCGTCGAAACTTTTCAGCACTTTTCTAACCAATACTTTAACATAAACTGTTGGACTAACTGTGACAACAAGTCTGCCGTCTGGTGAGTAGCCAGAGAAGTACTTCAGTAAAAGCCAAGGCTCCCACTTGATAGGTTGTACCAGACTGTTGCTCTGTAATTTTTCTTAAAGTTAAATGTAATGTACGTGTGTAACTTAAACCTGTTAATAAATATTTGTTACATTATATCGGACTCTTCTATGACCTTATCTAAAACTACCCCTTCACAAAGTGACGCCCAACATTAATGTTTAGCTTTAAGAATATTCATTGGCTTTTGCTCACTTTTTCAAAAACAGTACTTGCAGCCACATCCGCTGGATCTAAGGTTCCCCACCTCTGCATTCCATTAAGGTTCACTTAAAGGAAACTCTCAGCGCAAACACCCCAAAAGAAGTTATGCTATATTTACATATTTTGAAATGGTTGAATATACAGTAATTTTAAGCACAAGTGGTGTGAAATTTAAAGAGTTAAAAGATTATTTCAATCTCCCATGACTTAATTCACACTACAGCAATAATTCATTTGTAAGTTTAGTAAGTTCCGAAAAACATTGATTTGAATTTCTACACAACTAAAGCAGTACAAAGCTTTTTTAAAAGTACAAATTTCTTAGATAAAAAACAGATCCCCCTTATGCCTCTCTTATTTTATACCTTCTGGCATTATGTTAAAATGGGATTAAAGGACTATTCTTAACACTTTCATGCTAATAACAAAAACTTTTACTGTAAAAATTGTCTTCTGAAATATTTATATGCATATAAATAGATTCAGATATTTAACAATTTCTCCGAAAGATTTCCTTCATTTCACATAAAAATACTGAACAGCTACATACAAGGGTCATTCAATAAAAAAAAGGAAAATTTGTTTAAAAGATCAATTACGAGAATGGAATACAACACTAATTTGTTTTTCAACGTACTCAAGTTTTCAACAACCTCAAGTTCTATGCACTTAATGACAGCACTGGACAACCTTCTGAGTTCCACATGTGCAAAAGAATTCTTGAGAATGTATGCATAGCCAATTATGCGCTGCTTAACTTCATCATCATCAGTGAACCTTAAGCCACTAACAGCTCCTTTCAGTGGGTTAAAAATGTGATAGTCTGAAGATGCCAGATACAGGAGAAGGGGGCCCAGCAGATGAATTTCAGGTCTTTGACAGTACCAAATGTGACTTAAATGGCCTCGGGTTGTCATGCAGTAACAGGACGACACTACTGGAGACATCCATGGCACTTCCTCAAAATTGCTGGTTTCATATTTTCATACATAAGGCTTGTGTAAGTTGCACCATTTACATTTTGACCTCTGTAATGTTCAAGAATGACTCCTTTATAGTCCCAAAACAAATTCAATGTGACCTTAGCAAAACTTCTTTCAGTTCATACCTTCTTAAGTTTTGGAGATGAAGAATGTCACCACTCTACTGAAGACTGCTTTCCTTTGTTCAGGTTCATAAAAATGTACCCAAGGTTAATCTCCTTTCACAGTATGTTGAAGAAGTGCCTCCCCTTCAGCCTCGCACTGTCGCAAAATCTACCTGCACATATCCATGTGCCTTTCTTTCATTTCTTTTGGAACCCATTTCACATACATTTTCTTGAACTGCATCACGAACATAACGGTGGGCTGATCCAACACTAATGTTCATCTTTATTGCAATATCACTCCTTATAATACATTGTTTTCTCATATCAACTCTCGCAATATGGTTCTCCATCACTGCACAGACAGAGGATCCTGGGTATGGTGAATCTCCAACATTTGTTACAGCCTATTTGAACTTATCTGCCCACTTATACACTTGTGTTCAATTCAAACAACTTTCACCATATTGTACTGCCAATCGATGGTGAATTTTGATTGGTTTCAACCCTTCAGCTAACAGAAATGTAATGACACTTCGCTGCTCCATGTTGGGTCAAACCTGCAAGGGAGCTGCGTTCTTGTGTCACTGATTCCCAGCATAACCTATTCGTGAGGCAGGCAAGCATGCCGATCTGATAACAGTTCTAGAACACCACCAAAAAATAATACAAAAGCACAAACTTTGTCAAAGTTTTGTATTTTTTATACAACTTTTCCTGTTATTTATTGAATACACAAATTTAACCTTTTCACGACGGGTGACCACTATATTGTCTTTTGTGTTCCCTGTTTGAAAGGACTGGGTTGTCCACTTTAATGGTCATGTCCCCCCCCCCATTTCCAGGCTAAAAGATTGGGATGAAAAGTTAAAGTTGATGTCTCTAGAGTCTTAACCACTTATCTCTTTCAAAGGTCTTTGTATTTCTTTGTATTATATAAATTTTTTCCTCATTGAGGAAAAGCATCTAAAAGCCCAGTCACTAATCTCTACTCTTCCTCGTTTTTGTGTAAGAAATTCACCCCCATAAGAATCCATTAAACATCACACAAGGATCTTTGTTACAAGAAGAGATTGATTTCTTAAAGGGGGAGCATTAGGTTCAAGATTCCCGTCCTTTCAAGTCTCTTACAACTGCCAACGCCCTGTCCTCTAAAGGTTAATCATATGATGCTTGAAATAAAAAAGTAAAATCTCAATCATGGTGCTCAAGTTTGAGAAATCTTGCATATAATCAATATTTTTATGATGTTTTAGAAATTTCTGCAAGTTATTTGCACTTTACATTTCTGAACATATCCAGAAAATATCATACAACAGAGAGAAAAATATACAACAGAAGGTGATTTTGGTTGGAAAAGTATTATAATTGATTATTTTACATATAAAATATTTTGTAACATTAAAAAATAAGCATTATGTCAAAGAAATGTAATTTTCAGAATTACAAATAACATATAAAATATTTACAAATGAAATATCTAAATGTTTTTATTTTTCATCTTCATCTGTACTAGCACCAGATAAGTCACTGCCTATGACTGGAATTTCAGATTCAATGTTCTGCAAAGTATGAATGTTGTATCAATAACAATAAAATCAGGTATACAAAAGATGCTTAAATCTAAAGTGATGTTTTTATTAAATTGTGAAATACATTTTTTTATTTTGTTTTTGATATTGCTCTTAGTCATTCAGAAAATTCCGTCGTGTTACATACTTAAATGCATTTTATTTTAATTATATTGTTACTTCTGAACAGTGACTTTGATTAAAGTAGACATATACATACAGTTTTATTGCATAATTTTACCATGTATTGTAGAGTGATTTTTTTCAAAGCTGTGCTAAGAATGGAGAATCCAAAAGTTCATCATATTATGCTCTTTTGTTTTAAAAACGAAAAAATGCTAGTCAGACTGCTCATAAAATTCATGCTGTGTATGTACAAAATTCTGTTTCTGAAGACACAGTTTGAAAAGATGGTTTAAGAAACAAGGATCCTTCCATTAATATATTACATGCATGTGCATTTTCTTGTTCTAAGTAAAATACAGCAACATTTACCCCATTCAATTACCAGTTTCTTCTCACTGTATGCCTGCCAAAAGATGCTTCTATTTTCTACATTCTATAATTAACAGCATAATCCAAACGATTTTCTGTACATTTTATGTTGATGATACTAAAGCAAAAAGTCAGAGATATAGAACTGCCATTGATTTTAGATCAATTTAAATCTAATAAGATTACATGTAGAAATTATAATATTAAAAATATGAAAGGTTGTTTGTGAAATAATGAAGGATATTCGATTTTAAGAAAAACAAAGTTTACGTGAGGGGGGGAAAAAAGCTCAATGTTATTTCATTTTGTTTATTTATTTACTTTTAAATATAAGCTGTTTAAGTAGTTTAATTACTTTCTCTTTAATTTTGTAGATAGGTATAATTTCTTGCTGAGGTTACAAAGTCCAATAATTTCCATGTTCAGAATTCTCGTTATATAGTTAATTGAAATCTTTTCATTTTTAACAACCTCTCATCTGCTATATTTCCTCGATACCAGGCATCCCCACTTTAGTTTGACTTCTTTCCTGATGTAACCATATTTTTCATCTAAGCAGTTACTTTTTTTTTAATTGAAATGGATTTTTATGATTTGGAATTTGCCAAATGATGAAAAAACAGCTGCATAAACAAAGACTGAATTTGAATTATCACTTCAAGAAATTTAAATGATACTCAAAGCCAAAATGGCAATATTTCCTGCCATTTCAGCTTAAACTCAAAATTTTGCCTTCCTTTAATTGATTGATGACTGAGGTAATGTAATCACAATGGAATAATTCAGTTATATCATTTTCATATACATTTCTTTACATATTACATCAATGTGGAGGTAGATTCTTCGACTCCATTTACTTCTACTTCTACCCAGCAAGGCATGACGTCATCACAGCTTAGCGCAGCTTGCAGAGCGGCAGATGACTGCTGGAAGTGCTAAGAATAAGATGTATTCCATGCGCAGAGCCAGATAGCTTTGAATTGCGGAAAGGAATGGAAGCAGGCAGACGGCCTGCAGGTCCTCCAAGATGCTTACATCGAGTTAGTCATACGAGGACAGACAGGCACTTTGAATGTATTTATTGAGGACTAATAATGTGTGAGAAATATTAGTCACCGTTACATTAATCGGATCGAGTTTGAACTTAATTATTGTGAGATTACCTGCCCATTGAACTATTAACTTTTACTTAATTTACCTTTTATTTATTTCATATTAGTAAAACAAAGCAGTTAATTATGCTTAAGTCATGCTCTACTATGTTCTTACTGAAAGACAATCCCACATTAATTAAAAGAGTTTGCTTTTTTATTTATGATACAAAGCGAATATCTTCAAATTCACAGCTATCATCATCGAGAGATATGGCAGCTTGACTATAAACAGGTCTTTGATACATTTTTGGCCATTGGTACAACTGGCACCCCATATAATAAAATATATTCATAATTCAAAGTGAAATGTACCTTTATTTAGTTGTTGCTTGCAGGAACAACTTAAATGCCGTCCTTTAAATCAGTACCATTATCAACTGCCTATGTGAGTACTTAAAAATTATCCACAGACCTATCTAGTGAAGACCCTGCAGTGCTGTAGTATATATTAAAATATTTCAAAATTCCACGAGCTTTACTACTGCATTAATTTTAAGCAGTTTACCGTTTGCCACGAGAGAGATATGTTCACAGGAAATCCATCCTCATCCGTTAGTAATGGCAGACTCTCATCAGGGTAAAATGTGGGCTACACCGCAACCGAGGCACATTCGTAGCAGGTGTTTTTCCAGCCCCCCCCCCAGAAACCAGTCGAAAATGAAAAGGGATGATTGATGGATTATTTAGTCACACTTATCTTCTCAGCAGTGTTGCATTAGAATCACAGGACGGCTGTTTCAGGAAAGTAAAGGATGGGGGGATCACTTCAGTCGAGTAGATATCCCCTCAACACATCTTATGAGATCTACAACAGCTTTCTCCTTTCTATTAACGAACAAAGAGATTTGAAGGTTTTAAATGCTATCTTTTCAATTTCTAACGATTCCCTGAGGATATGATCTGTATATTATTCTCTGAACTATGAACTGCATTGAAATGTTATACATAATGCATTTAGGATAATAATAATTTAATTTAGGAAGGCACTAGGCAGCAGAATTTAGGATCCATAGAGATTGCATCGAGTGGTAAAATGCATAGCCATAGCACAGAGCCATAGCTAGGGTTTTCAGCGCCTGGAGACAACTGAAGATTTTATGCCCCCTTCTGTATGCCAAGAATGAAAAACATTTCATTCTAAAATTTTGTAACATCAATTTGGCACTTAATGGATGCGGTGCCCAGGGACAGATGTCCCCTCTTGGTCCAACCAACCTATGCCACTAAGACATATAAGATGAATCTTTTAAATTGTCACTTTTATCCTTCTCCTTAAGCATCTTTTCTCACAACTAGAAATTTGTCTCAATACAAAAACCAATGTTCTCACTAGTTTCTGCATGCTTCATCTCCTAACTTCTCAACCTCACCACAAGGTACACTGCACAAAAAAAAGGGGGGGTGAGACAGTTCTATATCTCCCGTTCTACTGGGCCGATTGACGATATTTAAACTCAGTTTTTCATGTCTCATAGCACTATTCTAACATAGATATTTTGATACAAAATCGGACTTTTTCTGAAATAACATACCAATTATTTTACATATTTCGATTCTACAACTCAAATTATGCCAGAATGCCAATTTTCTAATTTCTGAGTAGTTTTTAAAATATTAGCTCCTCAATCATAATTGAATTTGGTATACATTTATTAATATATCTTTTTTTTATTAAGTTTTTTTTTTTAATTCTTCCTTTCACATTTCAAAATTTATATTCATTCCAAATAAAATTCATCCATTTTTTATGATTTATTTTTAAAATTTCTATTTTTAAATAAGTTTTATAAATTTTTCGAAAAAATTTTTAATTATAAGCTATACAATTTTTAACATCATCTTAAAGTAGATGTATTTCTAAACATACCTGAAAAAAAAAAAAAAAAAAATACAGTTTTTTATTTAGAATTTTCTAAGATATGCACGAATTAACACATTTTTTTAGAAATGACGACGCCAAATGTGGTTTATGGATTTTTGTTACAGTGAATTGCTCTTTTTAACCTTAAATTTCAAATAAATTTTTACGGAAAATTAATTATATAAAAATTTTTCCCTCAATGATGATGTGTAATAAATATTTATTAATACTATATGAAAAGCTATTTTTCTAAATTATAGATGACATAATTAAAATTTTTAACTTAAAAAAAAATATTCGAAAGAGTACTGCTACTTTACTTTAACTGCATTTATACTGAATTGCCTAAAACTGAGAAAGTTCATTTGATGTTTATTTTCACAATGTTTTTAAGCCAACAGGACGTTGACAGTTTGGGTCAAGTACCAGCTTTAAAATATATATATATAAATTTTTACATTAATCCTCTATGAAAGAATGTTTTAAGTACCTAATTTTCACTCATGTTATAGATTGTTTAAAAAACATGATCTTTAATATGATTTAACTTGTTTGCAGAATAATCGGGTCACTAGGTGGTACAGAATAAACACTGCTGAACTGTTTTATTTCTTTTTCATTTAGCAAAAAATATTTTAATTAAAATATTTATCCTTTGGACTTTGCTTTAAACTTTATTTATAGTTAAACTGCCTAGAAAATGAAAAGCTGTCTTCAGCTGAAATGCAGTTGATATTTTACAAAAATTGACAAGAATGCAAAATTTACAGAAGTGCAACAATCGAAAAATCTTAATTTTCTTGTGTGAGCACTGAAAATAAATGTAGAAGGAAAGAAAAAATTAGGGAGAAAAGTAAGCAAAAATTTGAAGGGGAATTTGGTTGTCAGAAATGCTAAGGTGTTTCGAAAAGTTGGATGCTTTTAAGTATACTTTCAGAATACTTCAAGGAATTTAGGCATTCAAAGAGAAAATACTTGGACATGTGCACTAGCAAATAGCCATGAACTGAGCTTGTGCTAACGAAAAAAGACAAAAATGATATCATTGCAGATTAAAGTGAAGCGACTGGTTTTTGACTATATGGTTCTATAAATTTAAATTACATTATAGAACATCATATCAACATAAACGGATAATCCCATGATTTCTTAGTCAAATTATTATTTGAAGATTCAGGAATTTATCTAGTGATGTATGTGAATGTCACCTAAAGACGCTTCTCCCCTTGATGAAACCAGTCTTTACTTTCATCTCATGCCTTCAAAATGCTTAACCTCTAAAGACTGATAAAGGCTCTGACCAAATACTGATGAAATGGATTAAATTTGATTATTAAGTTATGAGAAAGCAGGGCTATCTGCCTAAAAGGAGGAATGTCCACATGAAGAACTTTCTAAGGAAAACCAGCTGGCATACACTACAACCAGCCCGTTAGCCAGAATTCAAAATCCGGAGCGAATTAAAAGTGTTCAGCGACTTT